ATGTCTGATTAGCGTATAAAATACCATAATTATCAAGTATAAGTCAATTTGGGCATGTTTCATGTTTTGTGTATTCTTGGATGAAGAATGAATTTCATTTTCGTTCATGTGGTTTTAGTATACTAAAATTTAAATATAAAACCGATATTTTTATAAATTCTAATTGAATAAATTATTCTCATCTCCTTGAATCACTTCAATGGTTGAGTTAGGGCATGAAGTAACCTAACTATCAAGTGTAGGTCAATTTGTGTGTGATTCATGTTTTGTATATTATTGGATAAAATAGGGAATTCTTTTTCTAACACGTGGTTTCAGTATACGGTATAAGAACAATTAAATGTAAGTTAGTATTTTTGTAATAAACTCTATTCGAGTAAACTATTCTCATCTTCTTGAATTTCAATGGTTTGATTCATGTTTTGTGTAACTTAACTATCAAGTGTAAGTATTGGAAGGAGGTTGAGGAAAGCTTGAAACCAATTCCTACAATGATGAATATAAGCGCAATTTAAATTCCTAGGGAGTTATACATTTAGGTATTGATAAGATCATTTACTATTTCTTGAAGCTGGATCTCTCCCCTGGATCAACCATATAGCCAAGAGAAACCATGAATCAGAATAGAAGAGCTTGCCCCACCTATGAGTAAATATTTCATAATAGCTTCATTAGATCCTACGTCTTTCTTGGTATATTCATATATTAGGTAAGAGCATAAACTGAAAAATCATATTTTCGTCCACGTGATTTCGTTATATTAACAATTAAGGATATTTATTTGAAGTACTCGTATTTCGATCTTTTAACTCAATATATCGTTAATTGACTTAGACATTATATTGAAATTATGAAAATACTATTGTAAAGAATAATGAGAAATGTATTATAAAAACAATAAAATGTAATATGTTAATGGTTCTAATTTACATTACTATTGTTTGTGTACACATTTTTCATTTTTTTTGAAGGATATTTTCATAATTTTAATAGAGTAAACAACATTTTCCCACCCTAGGTTTGGTGAATCTGCAAGTTCCCACCTTTGGTTAATTCATATCCTTAAATTACTAGATAACTGTTTAATCTAAAAGTTAAAAGGGTAAAATGGTCATTTCAAAATAACCCTTCACTTCTCAAATTCACCCCAACGAAAAATTTTAAAATAACCCTTGATTTTCAAATTCACCCCATAAACAATTTCAGGCCATTTCGACCTATTCTCGGTGCAGTCGACCTCTCCCGACACCACCATTACGATCCCCTCAACCCCACATTAAAGCCCTTAACCTCCCTGCTTGATTGAACCCCCTCAATTACCGGCCGCTACTCTTAGTTTCAATCAGTGTTTCATCCAAATTATGGTAGGTCTTGCACTGGAAACCGCCCCCAACACCACCAATAGCATCACCAGCTTCCCCCCCATCAAGACCCCCAACATCGCCAACCGCAATTGGCCATCGATGGCTGCCGCCTCTCCCTTAGGTTTTTGCATTTTGTCGCACATTTCCAGCCAAATTCTGGCACCTCGCCGAGGTGCAATCAGGTGGAAAGTTGGGGATTTTGATGAGGAGGATAAGGGGATGCTGATGGTGGTGTCGGAGAGATCCAATGGCACTAGAATCAGTCTGGATTCTTAGCTTGACCGGGATCCCTAGGGGTTATTTGAGAGAAATTTGAGATGTAAAGATTATTTTGAGAGAAAAGTAACGGTGCTAAATTAAGGGTGAGAATCTGCAATTTATGACACAGGGGTGGGAACTTTGCAAATTCGCCAAACCGTGGGTGGGAAAATGTTGTTTACTCATTTTAATATAATTTCACAAAGTCCTACTCTAGTAAGTTGTATTTTATGACACTATTTGAATTAGCCAATGCCAAAAGTACCCTCGTCTCTAGGGGTATGCTGAAATTTAGGGTAGAACCAAAGCCGATCCTAACATGGTAGGTTTTGGTTCTTAAGAATTAGAATCAAGCCTCCCCAATTCCGGTTCTGGTTCGGTTCGTAAATTGTAGGAATTGCGAATCGAAAACAGAACCTAGGTTTGGGTACCTTGTTAGGAACCGGTGTGGATCCGGGACTCAAAAATTTCATTAAAATATGGGAGCGTTGTAATTGTACATATAAAAAAAGAAATCTGATTTAGGGTTTGTTATTTTATAATTTTAGGAAAAATTTTAGAAAGTATATTCCCTCCGTCGACTACAGCTTGCTGTTTGTCAATCTTCAGTGCCATTCTCTCCCATTCGTCGGTCTCTAGTGCCATTCTCTCCTGTTATTCGAATCTCCGATGCCTCTTTGTTATTGGGCGTCGCAAGTCTTGTTCTCAGTTCTTCCTCCCTAATTCTATCGAGACTTTACTTTGCAATTCACCAGGTATGCCACGAATTCTTTTCGCTCTATATTTCTTTTTTAGTTTTTGATTTCTTGGCTAGATTTGTTGGCTTAATGATTGTGAATTTGTGAGAGAGAGATTTCACTATACTTTCGTATTCTATTTCCTGTTATCTTTGAATATTGTACATTGATTTGATTTCTTGAAAATAGAAAGAAACGGTTGGACTAAGTTTAGGAAAACCATGATTTAATTTCTTGTTTGTACTGTATTTTTTGGGTCATTGAATTTTAAGAATACATTCAAATTATAATTATTTATTTATTAACGTCGCAAATTTATGTTTTTGGGTAGTGAGTATTTAACAACAAATTAATTTTCATAGTGATTTGTAAACTTAGAACAACATTGATCATGCAACTCTATGGAGTAGTATTCATGGAGTTTTGACTGTAACACTTATGTTGGATTCGAGATATAAATTGGATATAGATTCGTATAAACTTAAGCCAAATTATAAGAAGGTATTTATAACCTTTATAATTTCATGATATAAATACAATAATTGGTCGTAATTGGTGGGTCACATGCCTTTATTTCTTTAATTAGAAAATTTGCACCTACTTACTTAACCAACAAATCAAATCAAGTGTATGAGTTCACATAGTTTTAAATTGATGCAATGAAAATTAATGACTATGTATGTGTGTGTGTGACTGACTTTTCTTGTTTTGGACTGCATTTTTTATACATGTATATCTAATTAGAAGTTGTGCAAGTTAATGTGTTGTGATTTAATTTCTCTTTCACATAAAGTTAATGGTGCATAATATCTTCATTTCTATGTTTACAGGAACAATGTCTTTAAATAGCGATGACAGTTTCGAGATGCCTTATATTCGTATAGAGGTGACATCAACTCTTTGGGGATTTACTAAGCCACTTATCAAGTCTTATATGTGGCAACATTTTCAAAAGATTGTTAATGAGATGTTGTTATGTTATTTATATTTAAAATGTTATGTAATTTTAAATTTGGGAACAACATTTGGTAAGTTGGAATATTTGTTATTTTTATTGTAGACTGTATTTGAATTTTTGTAAACAGATAGGGGCGTATTTGTAATTTTCAAGGGTGTTTTTATAATTTTTTAAACTAATATGGATCATTTAATTGTTTTGGTTCCATATTTCAGGAACAAGTTGGTTCTGGTTCCTTCAAAAAATCTAAGGTACCTGGATCTGATCACGCCTACTCATCTTGTTGAATCACTTCGATGGTTGAGTTAAAAGCCCCCAAACATGATGGTACTTTAGACTATTTAGAGTGTTACCTAGTGTTTTGAAATTCGGACTGGACCAGTCTGATTGAGAATCGACAGCCTCTCCGGTCTGGTTCAAGTTTTAGGAGGGTTTTTGTTAGATTTCAAATCTATAGGGACTAACTTGTAATTTTTAAGGGTGTTTTCAATATTTCAAATTTTAGGGACTAATTCAAATTTTTAGGGCATTTTTGCAATATCTTAAAGTTTTAGGAACTAACGAAAATTTTTAAAGATATTTTCAATATATTAAAATTTTAGGGACTAATTTTGAATTTTTTAAAAATATTTTTGTTGCTGATGTCACCTGTCCATCCGACCAATCAGACCAATTAACCCAAGAACCAAACCCTTGACCAAGTCAAGGCCTAGTTCGATTTTCAAAACCTTGGTGTCACGCATGTGAAAAGAATAAATATAAGTCATTGGATCTTTGAGTACCAAACCCTAAAATGTACCACTTGTCTTATTAACATTGTTTTAAAACTAGACCCCATAAGGCTATCGAGTTCCAAGTTGACCAATTCACCTGATTAAACTAACGACTTCTTGTGATCCAAAAAAGTTTAAAATCTTGCAAACACACCCCTAAAAAATAATCAATCCCTACAGGTTTAAAATCTAGCAAATACACCCCTACAATCTGTTTGGGTTTTGACTTTTCCGACCTAATTTTGAGTTATTATGACAACCAAAATTCAATCCGACATCATCACCTAAATCTCTGTCCTCCACCATACAAAACCTTTCTAACCTCGGAACTCGATAACCCCTCATTTGCCAATTGTGACTCGTATATACTGTCACGATTGGGTTGATTTTTCTAGCCCGACTGTGACTCGCATATTGGGTTGAATTTTCCGACCAAATTCTGGCTTATTCCCACGTCCAAAATTCAATCAACACCACCCGTTGAACTACCAACCTCTACTCTACAAAAACCCTCTAACCTCGATACTTGATAAACCTCTGTTCGCCAGCAATCAAATTAGAGATTTTGTGAATAGTGAAAAATGGTAACCCGAACTAAAGAGGTTGCCTCGTCCCAATTGGACCAGTCCGGTTCGGATTTTAAAACAGTGCTTATTAAATCACCTGGTTATCATTTTAAAAGCGTTTTTTTTTTTTTTTTTTTGGCAATAAAAAGATTTAGAAACCTGAATACATTTTGCAAACTCAAGTTCGAAACTAGAGCTCCCACCAAACTAAGAAGTGAAAAAAATGGCTTTTGATAATGCAGATGTAAGAACAAACCATAAACTTGACCGCTTGACTAATACTATGTAGGTATCATATTACAAATCTCAATACAATTTCCCATTGTTTTGTTCCATATTCCAAATTTAAGCTAATAAACATAAAATTTCCAATAGATAAGCATAAAACATACTGCTAAAGTCGACAAAAAATGGGGCGAAACGAAGAAACTAATGCCTAACCAAAGATACAAAGACTTCTTCCTATCTTCATTCGAGTGTTACAAGATCTTCCCACACACAGAGCTAATAGTATAATTATGGATGTACAAAAATTAATAAAATATCAAATGTACAGATGCAGTGGAAAATGAGTAAAGGCAGGTACAAAGAAACTCATCTCCGGAAGTGAATATTCATAACTGATGGCTGCATGAACAAAGTATGCTGAATGGAGAGCGCAAGCGGCAAAAATGGATGGAATAGGAATGAAGAAATCCTTTTTGTCCGACTATCTATAGTACCGGCTTCAGGACCTAAATAAAAACAGGAACGTCAATACCATACACTCAATCTAAAATCAAGCTAACCAATTAAAGTAGAGCAAATTCAAGCATGAACTCATAAAAGGATGTAAATAGAAGATAGGATATGAAATGAAGCAAAATGCATTGCTCTGAATTCGTTTAAATTGCATTGCAGTGAGGTAGAGTTATATACCTGGCTTAAGCTTAAATTTGAGGGTTTGTGGTTGCCTTCTGGAAATGAATTTAATGGGATGATCTGTCGATTGTCTGTGCCGATCAGCTGCAGAAATCAGCTGCAACAACATGACATAAGCATGGTTATAAATCATCAAAATCTGAGTATTGCATGGTTGCTCATAGTGTGAAAAATGCAATAGAATGACACAATTGCTGTAGCCAATATTTGCATAACATCACAAACCAAAACCTAAAAACACGTTTCAGATGGGACAATACAGGTCAAGTCAATCTTCAAAACAGACAGGCTTCTGACAAAAAAAAGAAGCAAATCTCAAATTGATACAGACAATAATCAGGCCCATTCCCATAAGCCTATGCTAACATAACTTTCAAACTGCTGTTCTCGACTACAAATAGAAATTTAGTATACCAGTTATAGTCGGTAACATAAGTATGAAAAAGATCTACTATCATAAAGTACGAACCATAAATAAGAGAAAAGGAATCAAACCTTCTCATCATAGCGAAAGAGAGATTGATCGAAATAGGGGGAAGGACTCTGTGACTGACAACTAAAAGGCAAAGAAGCCAGCATCTTCTTCACAAACTGTCATCAGTTGTTTAGACTGTCAGATAGAGAAGATGCAAACAGAGTGGGGGGAAAAAAAAAAAAAAAAAAAGAAAGAATAAGAAAGCATAAGTTAAAAAAGATAGAGAAACCTGAACCTGTGGAGAACTACCAGCTTTATTTTTCATGGACCTTAGTTGCTCAAGAGCATAAATGTTGTTTGAGTGAGATGATATGAAGTTCATATACAATGAATTTCTAGTTGTTGCGTGGAAATGATCACAAAACTGCTCAAACAAGAAGTAAAGCTCATCTGCTGAGTTCTACAGGAAGTAGCAAATCATATGCATGTCAGAAGACCAAAGAGGTTCACTAATAGTATAAGAAATTGAACTCAAGTTAAAAATAAATACCTGATAAAATGCAATGACCTCAGTTGTCTCCATATTATATACAACAAAAAATGCAGTATGGTGATCAGCATTTCGGGATACCTAAATATCACAAATGTCAGTCACCACATAATTCATAAAAAACACTCTGGTATTGAGGACAAAAATTATCCAGCTGAAAACACTGAACAAAAAAGAGTTTATAGATAAACACACAACAATAAACTTCATCTCATTTGTTTAGGCATATGTTTCTTAAAAGCTTGTAGAATTGCCATGTTGTATAAGAAGAATTTATCAGGTATTAGACTAAGACAAGAGAGAAGTCCATGAAGATTTATTACCCCTGTATTTACATTTTACAAGGGGGTTAAAAAAAATCCCTTTTTTAGGTTCAGTAAACTGACAAAAATGTGGATTTTTCAGGGTTCAAGTTAATGAAAATAATCTGTGAAGAGGTACAAGCTTGAAATTAAAGATCCAAAATAAAATCTCAACAATCAGTGAATTGGGTACCTTTCCACACACCCTCGTGGCTAAATACGTGTAAGAAATCTTGGCAGCATATTTTCTTCTTGAAACCGTAGGTAAAAGTGAGTATTTTTTAGTAGCATATGGTCATGAACACATAAACCAATGATTCCATGAACAACATATTGAGAATGACAATAAAACAGTTTAGACTGAATTTCAACAGAATGTAGCCTATTTAATAAACATTTGAAAGGAAGAATACATGAATCCACAATCCATAACTATAAACAAAGTATCAAGCAGTTTGAAAGGTAATCAGCAGGAAATTGCCAATAAAGGCATATATCATATAACCATATCATGTTGAAATCTGGATATGGCACAGTAGGAGTTTATAAAGTACATTGAATGAGGAAGCTCATTCCCTCAAGCCACTAGATTCTGGTAGTCCCCATATGTATCTATTCAGTACTTATCACATAGGTGTGGTTTTATAACATAGCTAGAAAGAGTAAATGACTCACCCCTGCATCTACACTACCAAACTTGATTAGCAGGTGATGTCGGTCCAGGAACTGTACCTGCCCAATAGTTGTGATTGAATAACTTGTTAGTTTTTATGTCTGCAGATGATCCCCAAAAAAACCTGTACAGTACTACGCCACGGAAAACATAGAAGGGATATGTAAGAGATATTCAAATTTCACGTAAAGGGAGAAATACCAATATGAATATGAGGATAAAATAAGAAGTTAACCAATACCTTCCAGATGATCAAGTCAACATAATCTTGAAAATGGAAGTAGAATTTCTTCTTAAGGCATTGGATCCTCTGGTCATAAAATATATATATATATATATATATAAAAAAAAAAAAAAAACTTATTAGATTAATAGTTTCACTAAAATAAAAATGTTTTAAAATTTCTTAAAAATCTACAAGTCAGATTAGATGAAAGTTACTGTAAACTTAAAAGCCTCACATACCATAAAAAGGTATCTATAAAAAAATCTCAAGACAGACTAGGTTCACAAGGAGAAAAACAAAATACGGCATAAAGTACTCACTAAAGCACACAAATCCCTCCACAGAAAAATACATGTGAAATGTCAGAACTAATAGAAGGTGTATTAGTCCACCTAGATCACTTCTCCAAAAACACAAGGAGGATTTTGTTCTGTTGATTTATTTTTCCTCCTCTTTACCAAGAAAAACAGTTCCCTTTTCTTATTTAAGAAAGAAAAAAGCATATGGGAGAAGCAAAGATTATATTTGGTGTTGAACTTAGGGGCTTGTCATATCATATGCTCTATCCCAAGTTGTATTGGGGAATTCATGGGGAAAGAACTGAAGGAGATTTGCCAAATAAATTTTCTTGTTCCCTTATATAGTAATTACTTGATACATACTCCAATGAAATAAGAATAAGACCCCATATATAACATAAAGTAAGAAGTTAAATGACCAACCGTTGTTTGATCTGTTTCTTCGTTCCATATTCCTCGGAATATAAATGAAAGCAATCGCTGTTTGATGCCACTCAAAAAGGGATTATCTTGATTGGGCTGGTCATGATTTGAACCATTCTCAATGTTATTCCCAGGCAGGTGATGTAACCTACTTCTGTCAGAAGTAGTCATATACTGCATACAGAAGCTAATTTGTTGGTCGATAGATCCACAAAAAGCAAACAATGAATGTCTGTATATATATATATATATATATATATCTATATATATTGTAAGATTATGGATAAATACATAACAATCATGAATAACTATCAATATGAATGCCATTATATTCATAACAACCCCTAAACTCTGAACATTAATTTCTGTAAACAGACTGAGTGCCATGTATAAAGATCTACTGATTCATAGAGTAAATATGTTGAAAAGTTGATGCTTCATATTTGATCCCATAATCAAGTGTACCCATTAGATACCTTAAAACTGTTTTAGCAACACCAAAATGAACTTGACTAAGTTCCAACATATATCGTGAAAGTAAACATGTAATAACTACTTCCTACTCAAATACTCATAAAAATATACATAATAAAATACATGTATAATAACCTAAATAGTTGGGTCCAAATTTTTCTTTTATTAAACAAATACATTCTTTATACAAAATTAGTATCATAAACAAAAACTATCAAAACTATGTAGACAGTGTAGCCATTCCTCCTTGCGTGCCGACGTCCATCCGACCGTGTCCTCACCTAAATCCTGCAAAAACATAAAAAGACAACGGGATGAGCACAAATAATGCTCAGTAAGTAAACCCTCTAGTCAGCTATCCCTGTAACTCTTTCTCTCTAAGTCTTTCCTTACAATTCTCATTTACTATCTCTTTTATACTTCTCTCTGTTTTCTCTTTCTGTTTCTCTTTCTTAGAACTCTTTTCTACTAACTCTCTTTAGTAAGTCACGATCCCATCTTACCGGGGGCACGGCCGGGACTCGCTCCCGCTCTCTGTGACTTATAATCGTTCTTAGCCGATCGGACTCGGTTATGCATGAATTCGGAACCCTTGGCCATGTGAGTATATAATCTCTCTCTCGAGTACTCTCGGGTATAGCCCTCATCTGCATGCACTCTGACGGGCTACACCACTTCTCTCTCTCATACTCATGCCGCTCTCTCAATGCGGCATACATGCGGGAATACTCTACCCATTACTCATGGGTTCCCCATTGAACAATCTACTCTATTCTCTTTTTCTCTCTTTTCTCTTAATAAAGCTCACACTCAAAGTTCTCTACTCTTTCTCTAACACATAATTAATGCATATGGATGATTCATGCTCATTAATGCACTCATGAAAAGCACAAATGCAATGTTGCATCAAAGACAGTCATTCTGCATAGGTCACACTCAAGAAGGCATAACTTGAGTTATACACATTGGACTATTTTTGTCTTGTTTTAAAGCTTAGAGACAGGGCTATAACTTTTATGTTTTGGTCTAAACCCAGTTCAATCTGTAAGATGTCCAAACATCACTCAGAAGATCACGGCTGTGACAGGGCAGTTTGGTAACATGTTTTCACTTAGGCATTTCATCAAGCAACTAATGTGCATACAAGAACTCTACTTTACTATAACTTTTCTTCTCTTCTTAAACATCCAAAATGGGAGGAAAACTCCCTCATATAGTCATGATTCCTGCCAAGGAAAACACTCCCAAAAATATTCATGCAAACTCCTCCAACTTCAACTCAATTTCAATCTCTCTTCACACATCAAACACTTCTCATAATTAAAGTGTATTCAACAACCACAAAGCAAATATTCATCTCAACTCAATTCTTAATAACATAACATACTTATACATAGATAAATCTCTACTCAATCTCTACTTAAAGGATTTCTCAAATCTCAACTTGGGTTGGATTTACTTACCTTATGGGTAATTGGCTTCTCTAGCACTTCTCCTTCCCTTTTGTATCTTGGCTTCTATCTACAACTTTAAACAAACAATAACAACATAAGACTTTAACAAATCATAAGCAAATTCTCATCTAAAGCAAGAATCCTTACCTTAAGATGCTTTAGATTAAATCTCTACTAAAAACTACCCCAAAAATCCTTACAAATTCTTGGAAGATTGAGTGGAGGATTGAGAGAAATTAGGGAATGAGAATGGCGGTGGAGATGGTGAAGAATGAAGGGCTTTCAACACAACTCTTTTTAGCTCAACTTATATACAATCATTCCCATTTTGCCCTTGCTCTTTTTTAGAAATTTCATCTATATCCCTTAGTCAATTACAATAATGCCCTTATTTTTATTACATTCTCCATGAAATTCTATCTCTTTTCGCTCCTCACTTTTTCAACTAATTTTGAGTGAAAATACCATTTTACCTCTTATGAAAGTTTAAGGGATTTACTTCACATTTTTCTCAAAATAACTTTAACAAAATTCAACTAAGGGCCAATCAACCAAAAATAACAACATGCAAGCTCAATTGAGAACAAATCAATAAACATTCAAGCAATGCAACAATAATTTAACTACATACCTTAAGTGAGGCATTACAAAGCCTGTAACAATGATACCTATTCTAGTGATAATAATATACAAAGACTACTAATTCAAACTTTTGTAATTAGTAGCATGTACTATCTTAGAGCATCAAACTCTTTATTCTTTAAATATAAATTAAAAAGTGAGTTTGACTCTCCATATTTAGAGAGTCAAATTTCAATCTCTATCTTAATTTTAAATAATAAATTATAAGTTTTTATGCATTTTATTTATGATTTATCTCTCCTATTAAGTTTCTTTCTTGAAAAAACATATTCTCTCTCCTAAAATTTAAAGAGTCTATTGGATTTGAATAAAAATTTTGTTCTCTTTATTTAAAAATCAATAAAGATGCTCTTTAAAATAAAGAGCATAATTAAAGATGTTCTTAGCACCATAATCTTTCTTCACCTTATCATTTGCACCAAAGGAGTAACCCTTGGTTTGCAACCTAGTAGATTAAACTTCTTGAGAATATTTTTCAGAATATTTCTTTTGAGAAATGAAAATCCAATTTTTCATTTGGGATACTTCAATTCACAAAAAATTGATGTAGTAGCCCAAAAGTCACTCATCTTATAAGAACTTATCATATTTTTTTTAACAATAAAATTACAGTTACAACTTTCTCATACAACTTTTTTATATAACCCTAAGATTGTAACTTGCGATTGGTCAGTTTGTATTTGAGCAAACGAGACCCACTACAAACTGACCAATCACGAGTTGCCAGATTAGGGCTGTATGAAAAGATTGTATGAAAAAGTTGTAAGTGCAGTGTTGTTTCTTTTTTAAATTGCAAAAGCATATTTTCATCATTGTTAGTAAAAATTAAGTCGTCAACATTCACTAAGACAACAAGAATGAGAGACTCTTTCTTCAAAGCAAAAAGTGAGGATTCATTCTTAACTTTAAAAACCTTTCATCAAAGTTTTTTATCAATTTCGGCATACCAAGTTCGAAGAACTTGAGTTTTCCTTAAACTGTACACTTTCTCTTTTTTTTTTCTCCTTCCACAAGAAAACCCTAGGGTTGCTCCACATACACCTGTCTTTTTGAAACTCCATTCATAAAGGCAAACTTTACATCAAGGTGAAAAAATTTCCATCTCTTTTATGTAGCAAAAGTAATCAAAGTTTTTATATTTTTCAAGCTTCCAATAGGAGCAAAAGTTTTCATAAAATCAATGCCTAGCTTTTGAGTGAATCCTCTGGCTATTGTTAAGATATAAGCTTAGGAGTAGTTTGGGTTAAAATGTAATATTGGAAAGTAGTTAGGACATTGTAAATTTTTGGGTTAAAGTGTCATAAATCAAAGTTTGCAAGACATGCAATGTTTTGTATCAACGACTTCATAAAAGAACCACGCGCGATATTCCAGTTAATTAATGAAAATCTCATATTTCTCTTCTCTTCAATTTCATGCTTGTTCTTAGTTTTCTTCTAATTGATTCTAGAAAAATCTTCTTGTGGTATCAGAGCCAATGACTAACGTCAAATCTGATTTTCCTTCATTTTCTCAACAACCAAACAGTTCAAAGAAAATGCAACATTTATCATCTTCATCAACTTGAGTTATGCTATCCACTAGTATTCAAGCTATTTGCATCGAAATTGATCAAAGACAATTATCAGTTATGGTGATGGCAAGTGTGTAGATGGTAAAATCTACGGTTGATTCGGAAGGGATGGATCCTGTGAAATTTGAGCCATTAACAATCTGATGGACTGGCACAAAGAGGAAAAGAGAATGTGAAGGCTTGGTAAACACCAGTGTGGTGTCTATCGTAGGCACTCCGATGCTCAAGTCAGCGAGGTTGAAGGTATTTTAGTGAGGGATGAGAGCGGGAAGAGTTATTAGAATAATGCGACAGTTCTTAAGAGCTAAGTGCTATGGGTTATTTCTAAATGAATAATGAGAGGGTTGGCCCCTATTTATATACTGAACCTAGGAGGTTGGTGTCCTAGTAGGATTCCAAGTCCTACTTGCTAAATGAGTCTCAATCAGGAAAGAAGTATTATCCCGTACCTTTATGAGATTAGACTTACCACTTTAAGTAAGATTCTGGATCTTAACTGAAATAAAAAGTAAATAGGATTTTGAATCCTATTTTGGGACTGTTGTGGGCTACTGGGCTGGAACCCAATATAGCTTAACTTATAGGATAGCCTTGTAAGTAATTGATCTACCATATGCAACAGAAAACAAAACTTCAATAGGTAAATCAATTACTTTTCTTTTCCTAGATCTAAGTATAGATTATACTGTTTACATATTTATAAACAAAAATCTCTATAAAGTAAATCCATTGGAGGATTAGAATACTTATGTACGTCTAGAGACTCCTTCAAATATTTCTGATTTTGGACAGGAACACTGTTCACGGTACTGCTCATTGTCTACTGTTCACGATTACTATTTACAGATATTGTTCACCATCTATTGTTCATGATTACTGTCTACCGTCTACTGTTCATATGATTTTTTGCCAATTGATCAAAAGTAGGATCGCACTCATGGAAGTCCACACAAAGATAATTCGTAGAACCTTTGATTATTTTTCTAGAACAATCAAAGGCTTCAAGAATCAAGAAAGAAGAACAAGAA